TAGAAGATATTGTTCTAATGGGTGGTCACCAGCCACCCAGAAACTCCAAGCTTTAGAAGAGCTGGTAGAAGAAAAGTTAAATGCTTTGCATATTGAAAAATCAACCAGCCATTGGAATTCTCCTGTATTTGTTATTAAAAGGAAATCTGGTAAATGGGGAATAGTAACAGACCTTAGAGCAATTAACAAATCAATTCAGCCAATGGGCTCTCTACAATCTGGAATTCCTTTGTCTACTCTGTTACCAAAAGGATGGCCTCTCATAGTTATTGTTTTAAAAGTCTGTTTCTTTTCAAAACCCTTACAAGAAAAAGACAGAGAAATATTTGCTTTCACAGTGCCTACTTACAATAATTCTCAACCAGTTAAGAGATATCAATGGAGGGTCCTCTCACAAGAAATGTTGAATAGCCCAACCCTGTGCCAATATTTTGTACAGCAGTCATTTGATGTGATAGGTGAAAAAAATTCCTAAATCTATAATTTATCATTATATGGGTGATATTTTACTAGCTGACTCAAATGCAGATACTTTAGAAAGAATGTTTGAAGAAGTAAAGAAAATTTTGTCTTGCTGGGGCAAAATTACATATTGCTCCTGTAAAGACACAAAGAGGAGAATCTATTAATTATTTAGGATATAAAATAGGTCTACAAAAAATTAGAACCTGGCCACCAGCGCAGCTGTGCCAGAGCCCCGAGGAGACCGGCCGCCCAACTCCTCCCCCCCCTCACCGGCCGCCGCGTCCTCGGATTTATTCCAACAATCTGTTAAAACATGGTGGATTACTATGAAGTTCTGGGCATGCAGAGACATGCCTCACCTGAGGACATTAAAAAGGCATATCGGAAACAGGCACTGAAATGGCATCTGGACAAAAATCCTGAAAATAAAGAAGAAGCAGAGCGGAAATTCAAACAAGTAGCTGAGGCCTATGAGGTGTTATTGGATGCAAAAAAGCGGGACATCTATGACAAATACGGCAAAGAAGGATTAAATGGTGGAGGAGGAGGAGGTGGAAGTCATTTTGACAGTCCGTTTGAGTTTGGCTTCACATTCCAGAATCCAGATGATGTCTTCAGGGAATTTTTTGGTGGAAGGGACCCATTTTCATTTGACCTCTTTGAAGACCCATTTGATGACTTCTTTGGGAACCGAAGGGGTCCCCGAGGAAGCAGAAACCAAGGTACAGGCTCGTTTTTCTCTGCCTTCAGTGGATTTCCTCCTTTTGGAGGTGG